TGTCAGTAATTAAAAAAGAAATTATTTCGTATTACTGATGAAAGCAGTTGTCAGTGGCTTATAAAGGTTTTTGCGCAGCAGGAATACTGACAAAAGATGAAAAAAATTAGTAACAGGAAGAGAGTGCATACACCAATTTTTCGGGGTAGCACGAGCCCACCCAACGGTCACGAAACAAGTGAAACAAGCGGGATTCGACCCCTCACCCTACGGGGTCAGTTCTTTTGACCGACGCTCTTTCCAACTGAGCTACGGAGACGGCTGAGAGAGATGCCTCAGGAAGCCCGTTTAAAAAAGATTTACCCCAAGAAGTTGCCGAAATCAGTCCGAAAGAGCCCCGGAGGCCACGGGCAGTCCCGCACCTTGTCCGCAGCCATGCCGGACTGTCCCAAATTCAGTCCGTCGCGTCTCCGGGTCACCCCGTGATCAGCTCGGCCCTGGGAACATTTTACATTAAGATTTATAAAGGGTATATACTTTAAAGTTATCATAGCAAAATATTAGATGCATTCTCCATCTTTAAACCGAATAACGAATAGGGTATTTCAATGGGGCGCTGGCCGGAACTAAGAAGAACAAAAGCGGATACAGAGAGCGGTGGTGGGGACGGGCGCGCGGAGGAGCGGAGGGCGGGCGGGGAGGCTCCCCTCCACCCGCCGCTCATCCGCGCGCCCGCCCCCACCACCGCTCTCTGTATCCGTTTTTGTTCTTCTTAGTTCCGGCCAGCGCCCCATTGAAATGCCCTATTATTTGCACTATTTTGTACATGGGGCACGGGAGTTCAATCTGACTTATAAAACTGCTTATAAATTCATGTACGAAATATTGGATAATTTTGAAAAAACTGTACAGAAGAACGCAAAATTTTTTTAATTAACTTTTACGTGCGCATAGACATACGCGTAGTTACGCGTAACTATGTGTCAAATCGGACAAAATAATTTAATGTGCATAACACACCTCCCTCGGTAACTTCCTTTCATTGCATGCCCAGTGGCCTCCGGGGCTCTTTCGGACTGATTTCGGCAACTTCTTAGGGTAAATATTTTTTTAAACGAGTAGATATGCACTATGAAGACGTAAAAAGTAAAATGCCATTGAAACGTGCAATTTCAACTTTAAAAAAATGCCAAAAATGTCAAAGGAAAGAGAAGACATGGGAGGGGAGGTTTTGAAAACGGACTGAAGGAGTGGATTTTCAGAAAGGAATTCTACATGCTAGAAGAATTTTTATCAGGAAATTGGGAGCTGGAGAACCTACGAAAATTACTTATGCTTCAACCTCTGCCCGTCTTGATCTATTGATTTATTGATGACTAAAGCAATGAAGGAGAAAATCGGGGGGAATCGGAGAGAATGTGACTCCAGTCATTTATGACGTTGGCTTAAAAAAACAAGCAGGCCCGCCCTTCCACCAAACGAAGTTGCCAGCTCCGCTTCGCTCCGCCGGCAACTCCGTTCGGCAGGGGCCGGGCCTGCTTGGCTTGCCGGCAGCGATGGTCGGGCCTGCAGCCCGACCATTTCCGTCTCACTCTTTGCTGAGGGACATAAGCGGATGATGTAGCGGGCCTTCGGCCCGCTTAAACCCGTCGTCTTTGAGTTTGCCCTAAAGACTCGAGAAAGGGATGTAACGGTGAAGCACCGCGACTACAACCCACCCTTCTGCTTAGAAAACGTTTTTTTGAGGGTGGGGGGAGAGTTTCCTTTCTAATTTGCGGTTTTAGGCCCTTTTCTACAACTTATTGTTCACTAGGGCAATTTTTTTGACTATTTTCGTCAAAGAAGACCCTCTTGCGCCTACGGTTAGAGATAGAGCGAAACGGGCGAAATTTTCGCCCAAGAGCCTCTACTCTGTCGAGTTACCCCTTAAGACTACATTAAAAAAATACTTGTTGGTAGAAGTTTTGAACCTTGAATACTTCCATTCACACCCTGAGGGGTGGTTGCCAGGATTTGCCGTAGGCGTTTCGTTCTCTAGAAGTGGACCTTAAGATACCCTGAAAATTTTAAGTCTCTAGCACATCTTCTTCTAGTGGAACAGACAGGCACACAGACAGACAGGCAGACAGACACACACGAGGTCGTTTGCATAAGCCCGCTGGATAGCTTTTTCAAAGCAGAAGGGCGGGCTAAAAAACGTTTTCTAAGCAGAAGTGTGGGTTGTAGTCGCGGTGCTTCACCGTTACATCCCTTTCTCGAGTCTTTGGGGCAAACTCAAAGACGACGGGTTTAGCAGGCCGAAGGCCCGCTACATCATTCGATCATGTTCTTCAGCAAATCGCGTGACAGAAATGGTCGGGCGGAAGGGCGGGCCTACTTGTTAAAGTAAGTAGCAATTTTGTTGATCGTCGCAGACCAATCCGTTGCAGCAAAGTCGTGCACACCAAACAGGCCAGTTGGCCGTGAAGATGGGAATGTTCCTGTGTGCGTTCAGCACAACGGCAAAATTGGCGTGCATCTATGTTTCTTAATACACTTTAAAATCCCAAATCGATGCGGCCTGTAGTTTTTATGTAGTGACGGTTCTTGCAAACCCTTACATTTCACAAGTCTGCTCCCTTAAACCGGCTACCGGACCACCGGACCGTCGGCGGCCCGGGGGTAATGTGGACCACCCTCTTACTGCTGCTGTTTGAGGTGCACTGGAGCACAAGGAGCCGAATCAATAGCTTATCGTTCATCGTGGTCACGGCCGCCACTAACAAAGCGCATCAGTACCGACAAGAAGGTGGTCCACATCACCCCCCGCTGGTCCAAATTAGCCTGTTTTAAGGCATATCTGAATCAATTTAAGAGATGAAGAGCGAAGTTCTGTGAGAATTTCGGAAAGAGGGCAAAAGTGAATCTGCACGTAATCCGAACAACATTTTCAGAATGTGCATACGTACCGGGTTCCACGGACATGTAACAGGACTAACGTTTTTACTGTTACTCAGACTACGCTCTAAGGCTTGCACGGTTCTTGGTGCTAAATTATGTAGAGTGCTACACAACCTTTGAAATTTCATGATAAAAGCGTTTTCTTTCCACCCACCGCCAGAGCTCCACGATCCAAACTCTAGTCGCATCTGTAAACGCAGAATATGTGTTTATTACAACAAAAGGTGATTAGAAAACAATGCGACACCTTGGAATAAAAGTCACGCAGTTCTACCGCTGGATCCGAGATGCACGCAGTTCAGCCGCTTGATTGACGTCATTTTTGTTTGTAGTTTGCGAGTAAGTCGTTGTTTTACAATAGAGTCGTTATCAGCATTTTGCTAAATTACAATACCTGTCGCTAACAAACTTAACCCCCAAAACGTCGTAAAATTACAACTAAATTTTCAACAGTGGAGGGATAGGAACTGCGTGGGTGGATCTCGGATCAAGCGGCTAAACTGCGTGGATCTCGGATCCAGCGGTTGCACTGCGTGCCTTTCATTCCAAGGTTTCGAATCGTCATACAAGCTTACAAGCATACACGCAAGATTGTACGAAGGTAACTACGAGGAATTTTGGTGGGTTCAACGTCAAGTATTCACGTTACATCCCCGTGGATTCGACTTTTTTTCGACGAATTTTTTTTTCCTCAGATTCAAGTGGAGTCGAGTGGAGTTGAACTCGGAAAATTTAAATAAGTAGTCTTGTAGCCTAAAAACTAACCATTACCCTGGGGCAAACGCTGCTAGAAAAGGAACGTCAACTAGCGATCCATTTCTAAAGCAAGAACTCAGTCGGTGCCCCTACGAGCTCCCTGGCGTATAGGGCGTTGAGCGTTGTACGCTAGAAACAATCTGCGAAATGTAGCATCGGATTTTATTTTACGTCCCAGGAATGGAAAATCGGAATTATATTAATCGAAACGGTGCGATACTTCATAGCTTCGTTCCATCTCAACTATTCGAAGAAACAAAACGAAAAGCAACAGAACCAGGGTAAACCTTCCTAACATGGATCAGTCACCAATCATGGATCATTCCTCAGGTAGACAACTATGTATGCAACGAAATTTGTCTGTGACAATTTTTTTGTTTGGTCGCCCCCCTGCTCGCCGAAAAACAGTCTGCACAAAAGACCTCGTCAAAGCGCGCTAAAAGACAAGGTGACACACATGGCTCTACTTGTTTCCCATTTGCAAGAAAACTAACCGGTGGAATTACTTGGTTACTCGATGAGAAGACGTTTTAAGATGTACCCTTTAAGATTCTGAAGATTTTGATCCTTTACCGTGTGTCTTTGAAAAATGCGGGTGGGGGTAAAAACGTAGAATTATTTGAACCCTCCTCAAATAACTTCTTTAATTTGCGCCTCAAAATCAGTCATTAAGAAATCGTTTATGCGCGATGCCACTTTGCGCACGGCAAAATAAGACAAAAGTGAAGGGATTGATGCAAAAAAGCATCACAAATTTCAGATAGGAAAATTTTTACAAGCGTTTACATCTTCCATTGCACCTTACGAGAGGTCCGGGTAGGCAACCTGGGGCACATATTTGGTCCCTTTCCACTCTTAGCGCCCTTAGGATCCCGTGACTGAGCAAGAAAATACAAAAACTTCATAAACGTATGTTTTAATTTTACAGAACCGGTTCCAAGCAACATTTCTACCACGAATCGGGGTGTCTATAACACGTGGTGAGTGAGGATTCATAGAAAATAATCGAAATTCTAGTCAGATGAAATGCTACTCTTCCAGACCCAATATCCGCCCCGAAAACGCAAATGAGCGGGAGCAAGTTGTAATTCCGTGTGCAGAACACTGCTAGAAAAATTTCCAGGATTTCACGGAGGATCACTCGTGAAAAATGTTGCCGAAGTCCTTTGGGATTTCTCAAAGGACTCCTTAGATTTCAAGTGACGAGTTTAGCTTCGTAACACATACACGACTAAAAAATCGCTTCCTTCAACTGCTGTTTCACGACATGAAAATTAAGAATTGAGTCCGGTGGGAATTTCTATGGGTGGTTAAGAGTGAATCTTCGCGGAATCTGAGAAAGTTTTAATAGTGAACAGACAGAGGAACAAACACGTTGGTATGAGAAACTATTCATTTCGTCGACAGACGAGCTTACAAAATGTATCCAAACAAGCCTAAGATTTGATCCATGGCTGGGTCAGCATCCAAACATGGATCACAGCCCCTAAATGGGGGAAGGGGTTGTTTTAGGATAAAACAAAAAAAAGTTGCCTACCCCTAATACTGTTGTGTATCACATATGTGAAGGAGAATACTCCAGCTCGGTGATCCATGTTAGGGTACCCCCCTCCAAACATGTATCCAAATTCGCGGTCGTGGGAATTCCCTGTAGCTCGTAAAGTATTGGAGCAAGAAACTTAATTCCCTCGGGATATTTTCCTAAAAGGTTCAAACCGCAGCGAAGCGGAGCTGGCAACTCCGTTTGGTAAAAGGGCGGGCCTGCTTGTTTTTCCGTGAACGATCCTTAAATAAATGCCCGACTTCGAAACATCCGCCTCCAGAGCTCAGCGAAAAGCGGATCGGGCTTTGTTGAGCTTTGCGCGAATAGATCGGACTGTTTTCTTAGGACGCGTTGGCATGTCACACTCTCTTGAACTGTTAAAATTAAGTCTTATTCCGTAGTAAAGGTATTTGTGTGGCCCAGTAATTGATCTCTCGTCAGTGTAATATGTCATTTTATCAGTGTCACTGATACGCTTTGCATCCTGTAAAATTTGAATCTTTCGGCATACAAACTTTAGTCAGATGACAGCGAATTGTCCAATGAGGGAAACTAATGTATGGTAGTAGTATGGCTAATAAACATATAGTAAAGAAGCGTAGGTGCAGAGAGTAGTACCATTTACAAATTACTTACGGACGAGCTATCATCAAGACGTTCAATGATTGTGTAGTTGGCAAATGCAAACATGTCGTTGTGGTTATGACGGTTTCTGACTAATCGAATCTTCACGGGGAAAAAGGGGTCGACCAACCCTTGAGGACACTCGCCCACTTGATCAATAAAAACATCATACGGCCCCTGCAAAAATAAACAAGGAATCGAAGTATTTTTAGATTGCAATATAACAATTTTCTTTTGTAGCACCCTTTCCCTTTCTGATGTGGGTCGTCCGGGGCAGGGCTCCGTACTAGAGTTTCGGGGTTGGAAATATTTCCTGGAAAAATTGGAAGTGTTTCCGAAATATTAGGGAAATATTTCCGAAAGGGTCCGAACGAGGGGTGGATAACTCCCTAGCCAAGTGTACATTTCCAATTCTGCCCAATTCAAACTAATTTAGACCAATTCAATTTAATTCAACACAATTCAGAAATACTTTAACTGAATTCAAAAATAGTTCAACTAATCCAGTCCAATTTAAGACAATTATAACTCAAATTAATTCAATTTAAGTCAATTTAATTCAATTCACGCTAATTCAGTAAAATAAAATCACAATAATTCAAACTAGTTCAAAAACATTTTAACCATTTCAGTCCAAATCAGTCCAAATTGAATGCATTCAATTCAGGCCAATTTAAATTCAATCCTTGAAATTTGTACACTCAATTCAGAAGTTATCCACCCCTCGGGTCAGAAATATTGGAAATATTATTGATTGAAGGCATTGTACATCAGGACGCCCGTACAACACAGATTGTCTTCCAAAAGGATCCTGTGTCTCACAGCCGCTTTCCATGGGTGGGTCTACATAATCCAAATAAACCTGTTCTACGGATTTTATTTTATTTTTTGCTATTTTCTTGGTTGAATTCTTACCGCTATCGGTTCGGACAGCGACCAGGTTTGAATCGTCAACATAATTAGGAGCACACGCAAAGCCATTGGTGTTTCTGTAGAGTATAGTGACGTTCTGTTGAATTATTCGCGAATAAGGCCTCAATCCGATCCTGAACGGTACACCCTGCAACAGTTTGGAAGAATAAAATTTGGTTTGGTTTGACCTTTGTCACAGGCTGGAGATTTTTGTCTGGCTTCCGTTCGCACATTGCATGCTAATGTCAGAAACAGTTAAAAACAAAATAACCAATCACACGGGGAAGCCGCATTTCAAGTCACGCCACGAAACAGCCTGAAGCGTAAAAGGTTGGGCCCTCGTGAGCGTAAGATAACGTGAATGAGATAACTGGAAAAACAAGCGTGCGATACTATATCTTTGCAGGGGTGTTTAACCTGTAAAAGGGAAGTTTAATTGCAAAATTTCTAGCAAATGATATTTATATGCTATTGTCTACACCCAGAAGGATCGTTTCTCGTTTCAAGTAAATTTACCCTTGTTTGAAGTGCACGCTGACACAAGATCAAATTTACTATCGAAACAAGCTTATTTTCTCTTTCGAGAGAAAAATCCTATTCCAAAGACAATATTGCCTTCTTTCAATGGTGAATTTTATTCTATGTCAGCAGCTTCTACTTGATTCAATAACCCATTTTTCTGGGTGTTTATGGGTAATTCTCAGCAAACGAGCCATTAAGAAGTTCATAATATATTTATTTTTCTTGTAAAAGTTTGGTTGGTGTTTTGGTCGCAATGCTTTTTTGTTTTCAACCCTTGATAAGGTTTGTAACAAGCAGGCCTGCCCTTCCGCCAAACGAAGTTGTCAGCTTCGCTTCGCTGCGCCGGCAACTCCGTTCGGCAGGGGCCGGGCCTGCTTTGCTTGGCCTGCCGGCGGCGATGGTCGGGCCTTCGGCCTGACCATTTCTGTCACGCGATTTGCTGTAGAACATAACCAAATGATGTAATGGGCCTTCGGCCCGCAAAGCCCGTCGTCCTTAAAATTTGCCCCGTAGACACGAGAAAGGGATGTAACGGTGAAACACCGCGACTACAACCCACACTCTAAATGTCAAGGGACAATTTTGTCCGTAGATTTGCAACGATTTCGTGCACATCCAGAAAGGATGCAATTTTGTTCCTAAAACTAGACAAATTGTGTGAAGTTTCACAATTAAGGGAACAAAATTGCCTCCTTTCTGGATGTGCACGAAATCGTTGCAAATCTACGGACAAAATTGTCCCTTGACATTTAGAGTGCACCCTTCTGCTTAGAAACGTTTTTTGGGGTGGGGGGAGGGAGTTTCTTACCTCTTTGCGGTTCTGGGCCTTCTTTTACATTTAAGTGTTCACTACAGCAATTTTTAACTTATTTTCGTCAAACAAGACCCTCTAGCGCTGAAACGGTTAGAGATAGAGCCAAACGGACGAAATTTTTGCCCGGTGGGCTCTACTTTGACAAGTTACCCCTTAGGAGACCATTCAATATTTTCGGAAATTAATAAATTTATTTTTGGGCCACTTTTGTAAGAGAAACTCCCTCTAGCGCCCAACCGGTAGAAGATAGAGCAAAACGGACGAAATTTTCGCCCGAAGGGCTCTACTTTTGCAAGTTACCCCTTAGGAGGCCATCTGATATTTTTTCAAATTAATATGTTTATTTTTGGGCCACTTTCGTGATAGAAACTCCATCTAGCGCCTAAACGGTGAGAGATAGAGCACTCTACTTCGACGAGTTACCCCTTAGGAGCTCATAACAAAATATTTTTTTCTGACTTTTTTAACCTATCCCCTTTTCTTTGATACCCCCTTTCAGCCCCTTAGGGTTGGTTGCCAGGATTTGCCTTAGGCTTTTCGTTTTCTAGGAGTGAACCTTAAGATACCCTGAAAATTTGAAGTCTCTAGCACATCTCCTTCTAGTGGAACAGACAGACAGACAGACAGACAGACAGACAGACAGACAGACAGACAGACACACACGAAGTCGTTTGCATAAGCCCGCTGGATAGCTTTTTCAAAGCAGAAGGGTGGGCTAAAAACTAGTTATAGTTTAAAACACGTATTTCTAGTACAACGTTTAAATAAAGACCTAATGTGGTCACGTTCAATCAATGAAAACTCAGGTTTTGCGTCTTGTACCTTGTAGTTGGTATTGTGTTAGCTCCTCTTGTATGATGTACTCATGTTATACATCCAGTCATCCCAGTTTTACGCTTTTAGTGTGACTAGATCATAGCATTTGGGAACTTGTTTTTCTGCGTCGACACTGCTCCACGGATGCCAAATCACACATATCACAGTTCTAAATTTGCTACATATTTTCATATTAGGTCATTACAACCCGTTACCGGTACCTATAAGTTATTAAACCAATGCCAGACCTGAAAATGAGGACACGGAGTTCACATGTCGGAAAGTACTAATTTAGACATTTTGAACCAGTGTTGGAGATGCGACGACTTGCTTAACCATTAGAGAAGCAGCACATCCTACTTTTCATAAAAAGAGGGATTTGATATGACGCAATCATGCCTATGTGAAGGTGACACGGTGTTAACACTACAAAAGCCATCCAAAAGCCAACCATTTTCGAACTTGAAGACATTATTTTTTCATGAAGGCCGGAAAGAAACTCTGCCGATTGCTTCGGGGAAATTTATTATCCCCATAGATAAGTACTGTGAGCGTCAAGTGATTACACTGCCTCTGCCTATTTCGACGACCACTTCAGACACATCGAACATATGGATTCCATTACTTTTCGAAAAAGTGATTGAGTGGTCGTCTCCCGACAAAATATAGTGGAGTATTTTCTGATCGACATGTATTGCTAGCTACCCCTTCACATACCACTCCAGAAATCCAAGGCACCTGGGACAGAAATTGAGCTTATACTGTCAGAAAATTGATAAACTCCGATGATGAAAATTATTTAGACGAAACGGACCTGGCCCGGTATTAAACTCTTTCGACAAAGTTGTGAAGGACCGCGGAACGTAAATGGCCCGTTCGCTGAGATGAACCCTGGCGTTTTCGAGATAAAGGTTGGGCCGATAGGTGAGACGCTTTAGACGGGGTCGCTACCACCTCAGTTCGGCGACGGAGCAGGTTAAACTGGGGGGTAGTTTTAAAACGGTTTGCCAGTTTATCGAGTCTGGGAGCGGAACGCCTGGGCCGACCGACACAAAACTTTGAGGGAAGCTTCTTTGGACAGAATGGATGGACGCTAGTTTTGCCGTTGGCGCCGGTACGTGCAGTGACCAGGAACATGCCCATCCTCGCCTCCAACTTGACGATGCAGTCCTTTTCTGTTTGCAAGATTGTGCTGAAATCGATAGGTCTGTGCCTTTTTTTATTCTACTTAAGGGTATTATCGGTCTGAATGTGTTATCGAAGGACAAATCAACTTTTTAAACTCAATTTTATGTTTAGCGGTCGTTTTGGGCTAACAACTGCTGTTCCAACAATTTTTTATTTTCCTACAGGTAACCCGTCAAATTGCAACCCTCTCATTGTGGCGGATATTTCGTCCACGTTGTTCTATCTTTAGCCGTTTTCGGGAATAACTAGGACTTAGGAGAAGCAGTTTGTTAAGAGTAGTCCTACAACAAAATGTTATTAAACAAAAGTTGTAGAAAAATTTAAGCTCTTTGGTTTTTGTTTTATTTTTAAACGGACCCGTTTCTGCCAGACAGTTGGGGCGCGGAGGGGAGGGCGTCATGGTTCAACACCACCTGTTGAGCAGCTCCACACCCGGGTGATTCTCAGAATACGGGCCGTTTAGATTCCGTGGCCCTTCACAACTATGTGATATGGTTTGAAAAGGTTTTTGTACCATCTAGATACTCGAAAGCACTAGTACGACCTAGTGCAACACTAAAAACCTAAGAATACTGCAACAGTAGGTGACTAGAGCACTTTAAATGGTCAAAATGTGAACTCCAGTAAGTTCCTAATGTCTGAGTTCATGCGGACTTTGCCAAATTCCGGACAATTTTAAGGGAATAGTCGTCTAAGGCACATTGCATTTCTGGAGTGACATATCCAGGGAACGCAAGGAATGAATTTCGATGTGGAAATATTTTTCTATATTTCGTCAGGAGACGACCAAAGTCGTTCTCACTAACTTTTTCAAAAAGTAACGGAGTTCAAAATGTTTGCACTGACGTCAAACTGGGCAGAGGTAGAGTAACAATTCTACGCCCACAGTACTACTCTGTAGGGACTATTAATATTCCCCGAAGCAATCAGCAGAGCTCCTACTTCGTCATCGTCAAAAACTGTCTTCAAATTCGAAAGTTGGCTGGTACGCTTTTGCAGTGTGAATACCGTGTCGCCTCCAGACAGGCACGATTGCGTCATATCAAATCCCCCTTTCGATGAAAAGGAAGGTTTTGATGTGCTGCTTCTTTTGTGGCTAAGTGGATCCTTGCATCTGCAACCCCGGATTAGTAATGCTTCAATTAGTACCTTCTGACTTGTGAACTCCGTATCCCCTTTTGTAGGTCTGACCTTTGTTTAAAAACTTTTAGTTAGAGGTAACGCGTTGTAATGACTTAATGAGAAAATATGTAGTTCTAGTCATACTAAAACGCATAAAATGGGGATGACTGGATGTAAAATATGAGTACGACACACTAGTGGAGCAAACAAAAGACTTATTAAAAGGTGCGGGAGGCAATATTTGAGTTTTATCATTGATTGAACGTGACCACAATATTGTCTTTTAACGTTGTACTAGAAGTACGTGATTTGAACTATCGCCACTTTACACTATCTTATTTCAAGGTAAATAAGACCATTGCGACCCAAAAACCTAGCAAATTCGACAAAAAAAAAAAAAAAAAAATTAGGAACTCCTAAATGGCCCGTATTCTGAGAATCACCCACCCCGCACGCGCTGTCCAGCGCTCATGCCAATAAGTGTGTTCAATTATAAAAGTAATGATTAATAGGCTAATTCAAAAAAATATCAAGCAAAAAGACACATCAAGAACAAGAACAATGCAGCGAGCAGGCACGAAATGCCTACATGGCGTCCAAAAGCAGATTGTTGAGTCTGTTTTTTTCAGCCGCTGCCAAAAGCCCAAGTGATTCCTGCACATTTCCCCCATGAAACGTGGCGGTAGTGCCTAAACGGCTTAAGATGGAGCAAAACAGACCATTTATGGGGGGGGCAAAGGATCGCAATTTGACAACGTACTTGCAAGAGAGTTGTACAACAGAATCTCACGTAAGCCCAAAATGGCACCTAATTATAATATTGACCGAAAAAATTTGATGTGTGCTTCGGTGACACATTTAGACCTCAATTTTTCCAAAGTAGGGCAAAAAACTGTAATATACACTTGGCGGTTCCCCTGTCAGTTGGAAATGTGGTTTTGTCGATGTAGTATGAGGCTTCCTCTGACCAAATATGAATCGTAATGAAACAACTTGTGTACACTACTCACTTTGTCCATGTATACGTGGTGACCACCATGAAGAGCCGGCTCAGCCCCGTGGGTGCCAAGGGCACACTATCGAACTTCCTATCAGAAAAAAAGGAATGTCGTGTTCAGCCACGCTACCACGTTGGTTAACACCCACAGAAGGCTGATAACATCTGATAAAAGGAGAGGTAGAGGCCTGATCAATGCATTACAAAAAAAACAAAAAAAACTATTTCTTGTTTGAAGTACATTTATAGGGATGTGCACCGCCATTACACTATCGCATAATGTTTCACATCCCTTCATAATAAATTTTAAGTATCGGTGTTTTGGGTACGTTTAGGCCCGTCTGTGCCGGTCTGTGCTCATTACCGGAACCCGGAATTTTGCATAATTTGGAATGGATCTCATTTCATTATTCTGAAATCAAGAATGGCGTGTTGTGTGTGTAAAAATGCGAAGCATCATTATTTTCGCAGAATAAGTCGTTTACTTCGCGACTGTCTGCAATTTTCATCTTCTTTGGCTGAGCGATTAGCGAAGCCTATAGAGTATTACGGCGGCAGATTTAGAGAAGACTCGTGGGAAGAACAAAAGCCTACTACGAATGAGCCCCCACAATGAACGCGGGCCGAGAGCCATGAGCCATGGGTCATCACCCACGGCTCTCCCCCGCGGGACTGAGGGCCTTTCTCTTTGGCCTTACGCATTCGCACTTGCAGTTGGCTAATTAACTTTTTACATTCGCGTTAAAAACTACGTGAATTTAGGCGGTTTTAGGAAAGATGGTCTGAGGTTTATGACTCGTGGCCCATGGCTCCTGTTCATTGTGGGGGCACATTATGATGGGGGGTGGCTGGGCCGGGGTGGGCGGCGCCACGCCACCTGGCCAGCCGAGCTGCCCCCCACCATAGCCCGCTCATGCGTACTGCGCAGTAGGCTTTTGTTCTTCCCATGAGTCTTCTCCAAATCTGCCGCTGCAATACTCTATTACTCCGGTGATGATCAAAAAGTTTCGCGTCTGTCTGTGGGCCTGTTTGTCATCACGATATCTAGCGGGGCTGTAGAAGACACCTTTATCGTCGAGTATCTTGTCCTGAGCGGCCAGGCGAGCCCACGCGATTTTGAGCGGTCCAGCTGTCCGGTTGCCCGGCTGGGCCAGGCACGCATCGCAGCACGTTTCGGACTCTCCTGAACGCAATTTTCTGAATTTCAACATCCACGTTGTGGCATTAGAAAGAGGAAAGATCAAAAATTGTATGAGGCAATAAATGGTCAATTAAAAATAATGGTTTATTTGATGATTTTCACAGGTGTGCCCCCTCAAAACCTTACGAATCAAAACGCCAAATCCTTTGTACCTACGAAGGATCTGCTTCCAAGCCCTTCGTTGAACACAGACAGAATCAGCAGAACGCTGTTTGCTGTTTGTTTTCTTCCCACTTCGGTAAAGTACTTTTTTAAGATGCAATCTTCAACGAAATTACTATCATTTGAGTTTAATTTGCAACCCAATTACGCCTTAAACTGTCGTCTTACTTATCTCGCAGAATGTGAGCAATGGGGAGATGAAGAAACGAGTTCCAAGATTTATCTGATAGGTCCTCTACGATGGTGCAATGGCTTGAAGTTTGGCTCATATATAAGCCTGCTCAGCGCTACCAAAGCGCAAGTGCTGTCTCTTACAAGACGATCAACATGGCCCTGAAGCTCATCCTCCTTGCGGTCACGCTCACAGCGGTAAGGCAGCGCACCGTTTTATCCTGTAATGTTATAGAGGCATCTGAAGTGTGCGTTAGCGTTAGCGTTACTGTAAAACAAGGCAGATGTACGCCAGACCACGTCTCGCGTAACAGGCTTCGCGATACCTCACGAAACACTGTTACGCT